ATTAAGTGGAAAATACATAAACACAAACTATATTATCTATAAAAGTTGACAAAATTCTCGCTTGGCCCAGCCCAACCGTTGCTGAAATCTGGGTAAGAAACCAAATGAGAAAGAGGGGTTTTGTGCTGCGTGTACGAAACATGCATGAAGAGCAAGGGTTCTTAGTGCCCTTTCTAACGCAGGCGAGCCGTTCGCTGAAGAAAGCTGGGAGTGCCCTACAGTCTCTAGACCAAAGCCACTACACAAGTGACGGCAGAGCATGGGCACAGTGACCGTTTATCTGAGTGGGAAGTAATTCACGGTTAGCGGGGAGAAGCACAGAAGGCGCATGTTTAAAAGCACTGATTGTCTGGTGTCTCGGTCTCTCCAACAAGCACTCGAGATCCCTCCGTAACAACTGCGGTCCTAGCAGCGCACATCTGTCCCACCTCCGGGAGCGAGGCTTCGAGGTGGCTGAAAAGATTCTGCACAGAAGGCAGTGGTCTTATTAATTAAAATAGATACACAAAAATGTCTAAAAGCTCATGCTTTTAGAGGCTGCCAAGCAAGTGCACACATTCATAACCCCATTCAACTTCCTTCAGAGAACAGAGCCAAACAAAATCTGAAAAAACTTTTGTATCAAAATGGGGATAAAAGAAACAATGTAATCTTGCCCTTAAGATGATTACAGATGGGTGTGTGTGAGAGAGAGAAAGAGAGAGAGAGAGAGAGACAGAGAGAGAGAGAAAGAGAGAGAGAATGAGATACAGCATGCACGTAGAGGTCAGAGGTCATCTTGTGGGCGTTGGTTCTTCTCTTTCAGGGCATTGGACCTTGGTGGCAAAGGCCTTTACCAGTGCAGCCATCTTGTCGACCCTCCAGCTCCCACTGACAGTCCTTCCAGATTTGTAGTGTGTGAAGTTTCTTACGTGATGGAGGAGAGACGGCAGCCATGTGTTAGGCCCACTTAGGGTGGATCAGAACATGGAGTACTCAACAACACTTAATTAGCTTAGGTGTGGAGGTGTGATCTCTACTCGGGGACTAGGGGCCTCTGCCTCGCCCACCAGATGTAGTATTACTCCTATAGGGTACTTTGATGGGGTAAAGAGTGTGACCTTCCTATAAGTCTATAAACTCTAGGTAGCTTCCATGGTGAAAATATTTCAGCTTTATAAACACTGAAGGGAGGCACACAGCCTGCCGGCTAGCAGTCTATGACAGAAATCAGTCCACTAAGACACGCCCCGCACCCAGAACCTCTCCTAAACCAGAGTTATTGAATTCCCCCTGTACTCAACACAGATGGATAAATTATTCATCTTTGCTCTTTACTAACAGCGTGAATATTACTATTAAAACTCTTCCTGAAAATTCTAATTTTACTTTTAAAAATATGGCGACATCACAGTAGGTGTTTGGGGATCATTTAACCAATATTTTAAGAAATTTGTGTGCAAACTTCCTGGTATCTCTAGTGCCATGATATTTTGCATTTTATTTATTCAATATTCAAATACAGCCTGGGTTAGATAATGCCTACACCTGGACCAGATTAAAGTTATTATAGTGTAATTATGTGTTCTGGTCTATGTCTCTGATTTCAACTTGAATTAGAAATTCTCCGTTCTATGAAATGTTATTTCCATTGAAAACAGAATTGCCAGTTCATACTGACTTGTACCAGAGACACTTGTGTGGAAAAAATGAATCACAGAGGAGGCAGCAAGAGTAGCCAGAATGAACAGGAAGCAGGGTCTAAGTGTTTTTTGTTTGATACCATTCTGCCACGGTATAGAGAGGTAAGGGTCCAGACTTAGCTAAGCTGGGACACTATCTATCAACACTGCTATCAACACTGTAGTTTCTTTGTTCTTCACTGAGATCAGTGTGACATCAACAGTTCAGTGCAGTGATACCAACTATGATGAGGAAAGGATCTGGTAGACTGCTAATGACATTACGGAACCACTTATGTAACTGTTTGATAAAGAAAAGTATGAACACTGGGCAGGGGTGGTGCATGCCTTTAATCCCAGCACCCGGGAGGCAGATGCAGGCGGACTTCCACCTCTGTGAGTTCAAGGCCAGCCTGGTCTACCTGATGAATTCCATGACAGCCAGGTAGACACAGGGAGACCTTATCTCAAACAAGCAAACAAACAAAAGAGCGAGCATCGACAGGACTTAACACATCTTTCATTTGAAAATACACCCAAGTTAGGGCTCTGCAAGCAGGACCTCGGAGCACCAAAGCAGCCTTCTTCCTTCCTCCAGGAGACACGGACACGGACTCTGGTGTTCAGTCCCCAGAGTGAGGACACTCTGTAGCACAACTGAATTGCAGGAGTAGAGAAGCAGAGAAGGAAAACGATACACAGAAGGAAAAGCAACAGCAGAAAAAGGACCTCATTCTTTAAACTTTAACCCAATGACTAGGAAAACCTAAGGCCCAAGAAATCAAATATACAGTTTAAGAACCGGCACTAACTAAAGAGGCATCAGTCTTCTGTCAAATTTATTTTGGAATTTTCTTTTGTGATAGTGAATCAGAAGGTCTGATTTAGAATAACAAATTTTTAGTCAGTGAAACTGAATTGATTTTTTTACCATAAATAAATTTTGTCTTTTTAAGGAAATGAAGTAAAAATAAATAGCAATTTCTTCAGTTCTAATCTGGAGGAAGGGGGTAGGGAAATCTGTACTTAAGTCTACATCACATGGGGTGAATGTTGGGCTCTGTACTGGCGAGTCATGTGGAAATTAGTGACCACTAAGTTTCAGTCCTGCTCTCAAGCAGTTCACTGTGTACTGAGAAAAACCACCACAGGATTTTATCCATGACATTAGGGTGAAGGAAAGCTACTTGGTGGATTAATGTCAAATGGGATTATATCTGAAAGCTCATAACAGAAATAGGCCCAGTCCTCCAGTACTCTTTGGTTTCATTCTTAGAAATTATGACTGGCTTTTCGCGCAATGCAAATTACTCCACTTGATTTGTTTTTAAATTTTCAAAAAATATACTGAAAAATAATTCCACAAAAGACTAAGGCCCAACAGAAACTGACTTAAGATCTGCATTATCAGCAAGTTCTTGTGCCATTTTAACAATGAAAGAGAAAACACTAAAGTGAAGGGCTGTCTGGTCCTGCCTCACCACAGAAGCACTGAGCTCCTGGCACACAGCTTCACAGAACACTGTTCTTAGGTGGGTGTTCCTGAAGTCCTGGACCAGAGTGAAGGGCAACAGCCGCTTGTTACTCAAGTCCATGATATGACCGATAGGAAAACTTTCCAGAGGAAACATCAGGTCCAAAACACGAAGAACGCAGCACATAAGGCATGGTATCCCTATGTGATATTATCACCTGTATGACCCTGTGCACAGGCCTGTATACTAATTAGGGATGAACAGCGTCTCCTTAGAATGGCTGATACTACAAAGTATCTGACTGAACCCAAGGTACAGGCCTGCTACTTGCTGTCATTATTTTTTTAGGGTGCACACAAACAAATGACATCAATGTTTGCGTCTCTTTAGTCCCTAGAATCCTAGAGTTTCAAGCCCTGAACGGACTGTGTGCCCAAGGCATGCAATAAACTGTGGACTATTACTGAAACTATTACTAAACTGAGAATGCTGGGAGGAAGTAGGGTGGGGTCAGAGAGTCACCAGCAGATGCAGAGAGAAACAGGATGAGTATGCCATACTGAGAAAAGGTACCAAGCTTCGTGACAAATAGATAAGAAGTTTGGGCTTTAAATGTAAGAGTTAGCTAGTAGCAAGCCTGAGCTATTGGCCTCAGTGTGTTTATTTGGGAGCTGCTGGCAGGACAAAAACTTCCACCAACAATAAACAGCAGGCAGTGGTTATAGATATTCGAAGTTATCTTCATGGTTCACTCATTTAAGCTCCACTACTAAAGGCAGGCAAAGGAAACAGGGTATCAGATGTAACAACAAGAAAGTTTGGAAGTCCATTTAATTTCTGTTTTTTATTTCCCCATGGGAAGCATCTGAACCTGAGCACCAAACAAGAGGTCTCTCATAGGCTCTACACTGGGAGCCCAGTCTATAGCTTTACATATCTTGGTTTTGTTTGCTCTTTCTTTATCCTCTATGTGTTAATGATGCAAAATCCCTCTACTAGTCTTTGCTAGAAAGTAAAACACATCTCAGAAACAGAGCAGGACCCATGACAACTCCAGCAGGTCTGTGGCACACACAGAGCACATACTCGATAGTTTGTTGAGGGTACCTGACATGCTCGCTTCCAGGAATGAACCTCTCTTTGTATACGCAATTATTTGCTTCGGCTTTCACTATTACAAGTGGCCCCGAATCCAAAAAGATTGAAACAACCAGGTTTCATATATATATATATATATATATATATATATATATATATATAGTGCTCCATTTATTAAGCATCTTTGAGGTTATCAAGTGCCAGACATGACTTGGTCCTATCAAAAACAATTTTCTTCGAACTGCATCAGACATGAGCTGAAGATCTGTTATACAACTGGGACTTACAACATGAAAAATCACACTGCCTTTAAAAAAACATAAACCTCTACCAGAAAAGAAAAGTTCAGAGAAGAAATTAAGATGGATGAGAAGACTCATTTAAAAAGAGAAAGAATGGAAAAAGACTACCACTGTAAACTATAATTTATCACTGAAGAAAATGCTGGGAGACAAACATATGAAGCCCAGTTCAAAACACGGCTCTGGTCACTACAGACGTCAGCTACAAACAGCAACAGAAATGACTCCGCTGAGGTCAGGTTGAGGCCTGCCAGGAACATCCTCAAGAACTCTTTGACTCATCCAGGCCTTTGAACTGCCCTGCAATATCTGACTATTATAACCATATGTACTCATTCCGAATTCTATACCATATGCCAGTCATTCAAGAATGACAACGAGCCCCAGAAAATTGCCTTTCCATATTAATTAGAATCTTCATTTAATAATAAAAACATTTGGAAAAAATATATAGACTTCCCTACCTTAAATACGTCAAGCTGCTGGTTAATTGTCTCCGTTTCTGTCCCCACGGGCCCTTGCGATTCTTCGTGGTCCTCAGCCTTCTGGAGCAGAGTTGAGAACTCTTCCAGTTTGCGGTAGAACTCTTCCAGCCGCTCAGTCGCACCTTCCACCTGCTCCTCTCTGGCTTTCGCTCGGTCTAGCAACTTGTTGCACTGTTTGCTCAAGGCTTCTAAGTCCCTTTTGATTCCAACAAGGTCAGGAGAGGTTTCTTCTGTGGCTAGCATCATCTTGCAGGTCTTATTTGCGTTGTCGTTGCTGGCTATGAGGGCTTCCAGCTTCTTCAGGAAGGCCTGTATAGACGCCTTCTGCTTTTGGAGCGTTTCTGCATCTCTGCCCACTGGAGCCATGCTATCCAGCTCATCATCAAACTCTGTGAACTGAGAAAACATCTCTCGGATGGTGTTCTGGAAGTGTCCGATACCCTGCAGCTTGGTTTCGAGGAAAGAACACTTTTCATCCACTTGCTGGCTCAGGTTTTTATGCTCTTCAGCTAAGGCTTCTGCTTGCAACAAAATGTCGGAGGTTCCCTTTGGTTCTGTGGCTTCCATCACCAGGTCCTGGGCGAGCCTTTTTGCCAAGTCTACCTGATGCTTCAGGGTCTGCAGTGACTTCTGCTGAGCCTGTAGCATGGTCAGGTGCTTGTTACTGTGTGCCTGGGGTCCTAGGGAGTGATGGACATCCAGTTGTTCTTTTGCCCCTAGGAGCTGCCTTTCAGCTTCTTTGGAGACTTCCTGGAAGTCTTTAAACTTCTGGGCCATGTTCTCTAGGGAGACTTTCTTACTTTGAAGCTGTTCGGTGACCCTGTCTACCTTCTGGATCAATGCCTTATTTTCATTCGTAACCACCTCTTTATCCACCTCACAGACACTGAGTAGGCTATTGGCTGCGTTGTTCAGTAATTCCACCATTCCGAAGTGGTGGTCCATTTCCTTCTGCAGGGACTTCAGCTCGGCAATGGAATTCTCCGTCTCACTGGGATCCAAGCAGAACTTCACTCTGTCCAGACTCTGCTGACATCTGTCTACCCACGGCTGCAGAGTTTCCACCTGCTCTCTGTACTTGAGGGCTTTCTCCAGCGCGTCTTTCAGTTTCTCTTCCCTTTCGCTCACCTGCTTTCGGAATCGGTCCCAGTCGGTTTTCATCGTGTTGAGCTGTAACTGTAAGGCTGCCTTCTCCGCCCCCTGTGTTTTTAATAACAGGTTTTCACCTTCTGCAATGGTTTTCTCGTAAATGTTAGACTGCTCGGTGGAAGTTTTGCTGAATTCTTTCTGAGCTTTAAGCAATGACTCCAAGACATTGAATCTGGCTGATATGGGGGGAGAGTTTCTTTGTTCCTCCTTCTTGGTGTCCAGCCAAGCCTGAAAATCCTTAGACATTTGCTGAAACTGGTGAGAGCTCGCACAGGCTGACTGAAGGTGCTGAACATGATTCTCTAAAGGGAAAGCACAAATGTACCGTTTTACATGAAGATCTTAGCACTATCTCTAAAAAGCCAACAGAAACCTCCAAGTGATGGCTCACAGTTATCCCAGAGCAAACTTGTAGCACTGACTTGAGGAACTGGAAGTAAACTCAAGCTACTGAGAGAGAGGGAAAAAAAAAGAGAGACAAATATAACAGGCAGCAGCTCGGGCAAGAAAGCAGCTATTAGGCAAAACAAAAAGACACGAGAACAGGTAAGAATGAAGGTATAAGGTGTGGGCATGACATACTGGGCTTGTTCCCAGAATGCCTTCTCCATGCCAGAATGACAAGCTGACAATGGCACAGTTCTGGATTGTCTTAACCACTCTCTTCTTTCTTAAAATTTTATTTAAAACACCCCTTTCCCCATAAATATATTTGGATTATACTTCCCCTTTCCCTAACTCCTTCCAGATCCTCCCCACATACCCACACAATTTCAAGTTCTTCTTACTCTCTCTAAAATAATAATAGTAATAATAATCAAAACAAACAAAACACAAAAAAAAGAAATTCAGGAAGACCAAAGAAAACCCTACACACACATGCACATGCAGACATACACATGCACACGCAGACACACACGCATGCACATGCAGA